AGGAATCAGATCTCAGACTGACTCTCTTCAGAAACAAGATGATAAGACAAATAGCTCAATTACTGCCCTGGCATAACTGGCCTCAGGGAAATGATAATGTGGGAGAATGTTATCGTTGAGTTTCCCATGCCCCCATTTTTGCTTTTTTCTTCTTTAAAGTCATCTCTCTTTCTCATTTTGATCAAATTTTTCTTCTTCCAAGTTCTAAATTCATCATTTGCTTTCACCATGAGTCACTGAGTATTCTTGTGACATTATATTTGGTTGAACCGCAGGAAGTTGCCAATATTTGACTATTTTTTACTTACAAAGTGTTGGTGTCACATAGTTTAACCAAATATGTTAAACCTAATTTTAACTGTCAGAGCAGATGTCCACAGAGTGCTGTAGTTAAGTACAACGGTATTATAGTCTAAATACCCACGTTGGAATCCCAGCCCTCCTTACCCAGCAAAGTACTTAACCAAACTAAGCTTCAGTTGCTTATACAAAATAGAGATAAACTTTATACAAAGTAGAAACAAACTTTACCTCATAAAAGAGAAACACATGCAAAATGCCTGTTGTAAGTACTCAAGAAGTCCCTTGCATTATTGTGAAAGGTTTTGTCCCAAGGTAAAGAAATTTTAGGCAGTAAATGGGTGAAAGCATTATTGGGGTGTTTTGAGGGGTTTGTTGATTGTCCTGTGTTTTTTTTTTCTAGGTAGTTGCCTTCCTATCATATTCCTGGACTTATGTTTTATAAATAATTAACATGTTTTGCATATGAGTGAGATAATTATTCCCATATTGCTGCTTACTGCTCATCAACCAATGTGACAGTTATTTTAAACTCTTGAAAAACTGAATTTTATATCATTCATGAAGATGATCCCAAAGTTTAAAGGAATATCATATTTTGCAGGACCTTTTTTCATTCAGTCTCTAGGACTTAGAGGATCTGGAGCTCTTTAAATCTGGGATCTCTTTGCCAAACCTGTGCTGTAATTGTAGACTAGAGATGCATTCAGTTTGGATGATGCCTTTGACTGCTGAGAAAGACCAAGGAGGGAATCCAAAGCGATCCAAAGGAATAGCAAGAAGTTCAGAGCCCTAGGCTGAAGGAAGTAGATCCATTTCTCTTAGTTTCCCTGTATACTGTTCATTTGAGCTCACCAGCACAGGAGAGAGGTAGGGGTTCGGGACAGAAGTTCTGCCCTAGAGTAAAGATTGCCGTCTGAGTGAATCATCCCCTGTGCTACTTCTCAGAGCTAAGTGTGGCAGATGTGTCATGAGAGGCAGACAAGGTACAGAAAAATAAGGCACTCCTAACAGGCCCCAATAACAGGCCCCTTCAGGTTTCGCACTGACTAGACTTTAGAATCCTTGTAAGATTAGAGGAGCGAGAAATTTTATATTTGATTGAAATCCTTTGCAGTACCATCCAAAAATAGGCTAGCGACAGCTGTTGGAAACACCTTGCTTTGCTACAAACTCTCTTTTGTAAACTTTCTTTCTCTCTAACCTTCCTCCAGATGCCAAGGATGAAAACATTTTTGGCCATAAAATAACCTCCTGGGAGTCATCAAGAAGAGGACATTCATTCTTGAGTAATTTGCACCTGAGGAATGGAGAGTTAGTTATCCATCAAACGGGGTTTTATTATATCTATTCCCAAACGTACTTTCGATTTCTGGAACCTGAGAATGATTCAACAGTAGGCATCAGAAAGAAAAACAAACAAATGGTACAATATATTTACAAAGTCACAGACTATCCTGAACCTATACTGCTGATGAAAAGTGCTAGGAATAGTTGTTGGTCTAAAGATTCACAATATGGACTCTATTCCATCTATCAAGGTGGAATATATGAGCTTCAAGAAAATGACAGAATATTTGTATCTGTAACGAATGCGCAATTAGTTGACATGGACCAGCAAGCCAGTTATTTTGGGGCCTTTTTAATTGGCTAGATGATCTGCACTTTTGTTTAATCTTCATGCAAATATGTTTATTTTTACATATATATACATATGTACATATGTATATACTAGAGGCCCAGTGCACGAATTTGTGCACCAGTGGGGTCCCTCAGTCTGGCCTGTGGGATTGGGCTGAAGCTGGTTCTCCAACATCCCCCAAGGGGTCCTGGTTTGCAACAGGGTGCAGGCCAAGCCGAGGGACCCCACTGGTGCACGATCGAGGCCGAGGAGGGGCTGCTGGAGGGCTCCAGGATGTGTCCAGCTTGTCTCATTCAGTCCTGACCAGACCCCAGGAGCAAGTTAACTTACTGGTCTGAGCGTCTGCCCCCTGGTGGTCAGTGCATGTCATAGTGAATGGTCGACTGGTCGACTTGTCTGCCCTCTGGTGGTCAATGCACGTCATAGCGAGCAGTTGAGTGGCCTTAGCATATCATTAGGATATTATGCTTTGATTGATTGAATGGATAACCATATGACTGGACACTTAGCATATTAGGCTTTTATTATATAGGATACATGTATACATATGTATATATACATACATATGTTGCATATATGTATATATATGTAAAAATAAACCTATATGGGTATATATGTAAAAATAAAC